ATAAAATGTAAAATCAAATTTTACATAAACGTTTACATAAATGTAGTAATCAAATTTGTATTGTTATATAAATAAGTATATAAATGCATATTAAATTTAAAAATTGAATAAAAAGTGAAAATATGAAAGGGTTAATTTTATTTGCAGAAAGAGAATTTGATTTTGGAGAAGGGTGTACAAAACCTGTAAAAGGGTTTATTTTATTTGCAAAAAAGTGAATATGATCGAAAGAAGGTTTATATTTAAGAACAAATAAGTGAATATGGTCTAAGAAAGGNGGAGTTCTTCTATTTCTTTTTTGTCATTCCAAGTAATAGCAAAATTAAGTGTTTTAGTTATTATACAATAAACTAGTCCCTTTAAAATTTAAAAGAAATTCAAGTCGTTTAGTCCAGTCTCAAAAAAGCTATTGTGTTTTAAGAGGTATTCGAGTACGTTTTGCCATTAGAATTCGTACTCTACATTAGAATTCGTACTTACTCGTCCTCCCACGGGCACACTTCGTTAACGTTATTGTCACGCTTTTGCTGAGCTGCTGATTGAGTGACAGGCGCTGTTTGGTCATTTTGTTGAGTGTCCGGTTTCCAAACAGGAACAACCTGTGCCTCCTCCAGCAACTCCACGGTTTCCGTTTCCGTTTGAGCCGGACTTGCCGAGTCCTTCCCGGCAGTGTCCGTCGTATTACTTTTATCATGTTCCAGTTCTCCTCCCCTACTTGCAGCCCCTTCCATCAGCTCTTCTTCCTCTACGAACGCCGTGCAAATGTCGTCTGGATTCTCCGTAATTTCACCAACAATCGCGCTAATACTTATTACGGGAGCTTTGCCTGGAGATTTCATGGGAAAGTCCCTTTCGAATGACAAGACTTTTGGCTTTGTATAGTGAGCTTCAGACTCTTCATTATAGGACGAAGCAGGCGGTCGACCAATTTCTCCAAGTTTCACTCTCCGGAAATTTGTCCTGACTCCCCCTCCACTTCTTTCGCTCGTTGACGGTACTCCACCTATCGTGGTAAAATTAACGTCATACAGTCAACGGGATCGTCAAGAAGATTATTATGCATAGTGGCTCACGGAAACAAGGTTGGTTTAACTTCCTGAATGATATTATCGCGAGCGAGCTGTTTTACTACTAAGTTCGTACATCTCGGAACACAGTTATAGCACCTTTGTAGCTTTTTCACAAAGCATAGTGGAAAATACGTCGAGCAACCAATGAAAATGATCATTTAATCAAACCGATAAATTAATACAAAGTGTTAATATTNATAAAATGTAAAATCAAATTTTACATAAACGTTTACATAAATGTAGTAATCAAATTTGTATTGTTATATAAATAAGTATATAAATGCATATTAAATTTAAAAATTGAATAAAAAGTGAAAATATGAAAGGGTTAATTTTATTTGCAGAAAGAGAATTTGATTTTGGAGAAGGGTGTACAAAACCTGTAAAAGGGTTTATTTTATTTGCAAAAAAGTGAATATGATCGAAAGAAGGTTTATATTTAAGAACAAATAAGTGAATATGGTCTAAGAAAGGATTAATTTGGAGTGCGAAAAAGTGAATAAGATTTATAAAAGTATTAATTTTTAACTATTCAACTATACAGCTGAAAATATTAGCATCAAAAGATTTAAGAAACTTTACATTTATTACAAATACATTATAAGGTAAAATTGTGAGTTTCGCCATGTTTAATCATCATCATTCATCTCAGACACTGTCATTTAGTCAAAAGCCTTTAATATTATTTTCAATGTTTGAAAATAATATTATTTTATGTTTGAAAATTAAATGTAATCAGCAACATTTTGAAACTCGAAAACAAATGCGGCACGGATTTTCAAAGCATCCGAATTTTACGCACATCATTTTCTCACGAAGTGCCATAATTTAGAGGGCTGAGATCAGAGAAGAATCGGAAAATTAGAATCACCCTAGTGCAGAACCTGTACAGTTATGCACCGCGTTGTATTAAATGTTTGTGTATGACCCTTTTCACAACTCACCTACGCTGGTGCTGTGTTGCATACAGCATGATTTCCGAAGGTGCTCGGACACTTCCGTTATTGGTAGACTAACGTCAGACGAAGAGCTATAGGAATCCAGTTGCGTCGAATTCTTGCGGGCTGCGCGTGTTTCGACGGATTGCAGCAATCCGACCATGCTGTTGCTGCTCTCATCGAGCTGACCCTCAACTGACAAGGTTGTTGCAGATAACGTCAGGTGTTGCGGTCCTGTGGAACCCGAGGCGTGCTCTATACTGGGACCTGGGGCCGCGTCCCATGGGCAAACGTCGTCTATAGGGCGAGCCATCACTTCCGACGTGCCAACATCCCTGACAACAGGAACTTTATTATAGGATTTAGTTTTCACTTTTCCCTTTCGACAGAATATCACGTCTTTTGTTTGGTTGTGTCGATAGGCCATGCATAATATAGTTTCATTATTTTACGGACAAAATTGGAACACGTTTTGCGTAATAACATTTGGATCAGAGAACATTGCGGATGTCAATAAGGACTTCTATTTGTTGATAAGGAAGGATCGCAACGGTGGAATCAAACCGATTTGTTTAACTGTTTGTTTGTTTTTCTTTTTGGCGAATACACACGGAAACGGTTCAATATGCTCTACTGACAAAAGTACTTATCAATATTACAACACTTAGGTCCAGCGAATAGAAGATAAGCGTTACTGATTCAAGATCGCACAATGCATTGTATATTATTTATTGGTATTGCTAATTGAGTGAGACAGATTGATAATGAATGAGGACAAGATACTGATTTACAATACTACTCCGATAGGACTGACAAGGAAATATTCGAGTTGTGTGAATAAGTTCGGAATTGAGATAATATAACGGAAAATATTTTTTCGTTCTATCTGCCGAGTAAAGTTTCCTGCTGGTGTAATTCATTTCAGCTGATATTTTTCATGTTTGCTTCCAAATCAATTTAAGTAGACTGTTGCTCATTGTCAGTAATGTACGAATAAGATAATGCTCTTGAACTTGTAAGTGTTTATAGAAGAGCATTATCAAGAGCATTATTATTATATTATAAGAGTTGTTTATATCCTGTCGATGCGTTGTAGCAGTAAACACTTTGCGGTAACATGTTTTTTTCTCTAATACTGTTCCGCATGAACATTACTAAAATATTCAAATCTTGTATCTTTATAGAAATTCGCATCTACAAACGAGTATACACAAGAAATTTATTTTGTTTTAGTATATTCCTAGGAAATTAGTTATTATCGAATAAAATTATAACGTAAATGCAGAAACTTTAATTGTCTTTTTTATATGAATTACAGATATCCTTATTTAGGACATGGTGTAAAAAGGGTTTTCCCTTTGAAACCTATTTCTGTGATCTTAAAGGTTTATTTCTGA